AGTTGTTCCAGCACCATTTGTTGAAAAGACTATCTTTTTATCGCCTTTGCTCCTTTGTCAAGGATCAGTTGACTTACATATTTCTGGATGTCTATTTCTGGGCTTCCTATTCTGTTCCATTGATCTGTTTGTCTACTCTTTCACCAAGACCACTGTCTTGGTAACTGTAGCACTGCAGTAGTCTTGACGCAGGGTAGTGCCAGTCCTCCAACTTCATTCTTCTCCTTCAACAGGCTGTTCTGCCTCTCCTTGTAAAACACATCAGTTTGTGATAACCACAATATAACTTGCTAGCATTTTGATTGGAATCACATCAGATCTATAGATCAGGTTGGGAAGCAATGTCCTGTTGATAACATTGAGTTTTCCTATCATTGAATATCGAATACCTATCCATTTGTTTAGTTCTCTGATTTCATTTATCAGAGTTCTGTAGTTCTCATCACACAGATTTTGTACATTTTTGCTAGATTTATACCAAGTATTATGTATTTGGGGGCAGTACTATAAATGGCATTGCATATTTAATTTCAAATTTCCAATCTCCTAGGATGTAGGAGAGTCGTTGACTTGTATATATCAACTTGATATTAAAAATGTTTTTAATTTGTCTTAAAATTTCTGCTTTGACCCATGTGTTATTTAGAAGTACGCTGTTTACTCTCTGTGTGTTTTCTTTTGGAATATTGCAGGTATGTTTCTGTTATTGATTTCTAATCTAATTCCTGTGAGGGCTGAGGGCAGAAACTGTATGATTTCTATCCTTTTATATTTGTTAAGGTGTTTTAAAATGGCCCAGAATGTGGTCTGTTTTAGTAAATGTTCGACATGAGCTTGTGACGAATGTATATCCCACTGTTGCTGAGTGAAGTCCTTTATAAACATCAATTTTATTCAGTTGACAGATGGTGTTACTGTGCTCAACTATGTCCTTACTGACTTTCTGGCCCCTAGATCCATCCATTGGTGATAAAAGGGTGTTGAAGACTCTAACGTAGATAGTGGATTCATCTGTTTCTCTCTGCAGTTCAATTAGCTTTCGCTCATGAATTTTGATGCTGTATTGTTAGATGTGTCAGAATTGGGAGAATAAACTCCTTTTTCATTATGTAATACCCTCTCTTTTTCCTGATAACATTTTGAGCTCTGAATTTTTCTTAATTAATATAGCTACTCTAACTTTTTTTTACTGTTAGCAT